CCATGCCGCCCTCACACAGGCGTGCCTGCAGGGTACCCGTCCATGCCGCCCTCACACAGGCGTGCCTGCAGGGTACCCGTCCATGCCGCCCTCACGCCGGCGTGCCTGCAGGGTACCCGTCCATGCCGCTCTCATGCCGGCGTGTCTGTAGGGTACCCGTCCACGCCGCGCTCACGCCAGTGTGTCTGCAGGGTACCCGTCCATGCCGCCCTACTGGGGCCTGGGCTTCCACCTCTGCCGCTGGGGCTACTCCTCCACAGCCATTGTCCGCCAGGTGGTGGAGAACATGACCAGGGCCGGCTTCCCCCTGGTGAGTCCTGGCAGGAGGGGCCCCAGGCCAGGCAGGGGTGGCATGGGGACCGAGCGGCCCAGGCGCTGCCCCGACACAGCCCAGCAGCTGGGCCCTGTGGTCGGTCACAGGACGTCCAGTGGAACGACCTGGACTACATGGATGCCAGAAGAGACTTTACCTTCAACAAGGACGGTTTCGAGGACTTCCCCGCCATGGTGCAGGAGCTCCACCAGGGCGGCCGGCACTACGTCATGCTGGTTGTGAGTGTGCTCCCTCGTGCGTGCGTCGTACCTTTGCGGGGAGGGGGGGTGTCTCGCCCAGCTTCAGCCTTGTGCCTTCCCTCGTCACTGAGGACCTCCTTTGAGGGTCTTTCTGGTACTGGGGGAACATGGAGAAACGTACGTGCGGCCCCTGCTGCCTAGGGACGTCCGGCTTAACAGTCCCTGTGCTGTCAGACCCATCCAGGGAGATCCCAGCTTCTCTTCCCTGGTCAGTTCAGCCCCCGCTGCCAGTACAGCCATCTCTCGCTCACCCCCGCTCACCTGGGGCCAGGCAGTGGGCACCGTCCCCCTCATCCCCACTCACCCGCGGCCAGGCAGCGAGTACCGCTCCCCAGTCCCCACTCACCCAGGGCCAGGCAGTGGGCACTACTCCCCCATCCCCACCACCGGGGCCAGGCAGTGGGTACCACCCCCCCATCCCCACTCACCTGGGGCCAAGTCAGCGGGCACCAGCTCCTTCTCATCTCCATTCACCTGGGGCCAGGTCAGTGGGCACCGCCCCCATCTCTACTCACCCGGGGCCAGGTCAGCGGGCGCTGTCTCTTCTTTGTTTCTTAGGTCCAATAATCTGTTGAAACGACTGACAAACTCCAAAGAAAGAGCTGTCTTTAATGTAGAAGAAGAAAGGGTACAAACAGAAGGGATGAGGTTCAGGAGGAGTTTTGGCACAGAGCTCCCGGGCTTCCAGGGGACATACTTACCCTCCCAAGAGCTGAAGGTTCTATTGGCTAACCAGGAAGCTCCCGGGAACCTCCATCTTCCAGGGTCTTCATTGGCCTCACTGCATGCCTGAGGCTCAGGCAGTATCGGGCCCTTAGGTGGTCCCTTCTAGTCAGGTGGGCCCCACTCATTGGCCTCAGGTGTGGTCCAGCTCTCAGGATCCAGGACCAAAGGCCAAAGTGTTTCTTGTAAGGAGACTGCACACTTCGCAGCCCCGGAGACACCTGTGCTCCGGAGCTTGAAGTGGCTCAAGGCAAAAAGTGGGGACCATCAGCTGACGTCCCCCAGCACTGGAAGGGGCAGCGGGAACCGTGGGAGCCATCCATCTCCTGGCTCTGCCTCTCCCTCAGCTCTGTGATGGCAAGGGGCCGTGGCCGGGGGCCGCTCTGCTCACACCTCTAGTGCTGGCGCCAGAGGGGAAGCTCTTCCCACTGGCTCTGGTGCAAAAGGAGCCCAGGGCACGCGTCCGCATGGCTCAGCATGAAGACAGAGCCTTCCCGGACCAGGTCCCCCAGCCGGGGAGATGGGATTCAGGGCCCGGGTCACATGCCTGGCCCTGCGGCCTGAGGAGGGGTCGCCAGCATGGAGCCCCCTTAGGCGGAGGAAGTTCAGTTGCTGAGAGTTGTGGCGTTGTGCCAACGTAGCCTTCTCGAGGCGACGAGCGTTAGTGGCCGCTTGGAGCAGAGAGGGCAGACACAAGACCCTTTTTTTCCCCACTTTTCAAGATTATTAGACGAATGTTTGCTGCAGAGCATTTGGGAAAGTCAAGTAAGCTTAACCAGCTGGTCCCCTTCTCGCCCATTTTCTGGGCGGATTTGTGCGCATCCGCGTGGGTGTGCTGTGCCCGGCTTTGTCCCTGCCTCTCTCACTTGTATTGGGACTGTCCCATCCTCCCAGTCTTTGGCACCCAGGCTCTGGGTGGCTTCCTCTCATCCCGACTGGCTTCTTACCCCCAGGATCCCGCCATCAGCAGCACGGGCCCCGCGGGGAGCTACAGACCTTATGATGAGGGTCTGAGGAGGGGAGTCTTCATCATCAACGCCACTGGGCAGCCACTGATTGGGAAGGTGAGGGGTCTCCGGCCAGTGGGAGCGGGCAGCCGCTGATTGGGAAGGTGAGGGGTCTCCGGCCGGTGGGAGCGGGCAGCCGCTGATTGGGAAGGTGAGGGGTCTCTGGCCGGTGGGAGCAGGCAGCCGCTGAGGAACAAGGGTAATTCAGCAGTCCCCGCCGTCCAGTGCGCAGTGGCACAGAGTGGGGAGGGGTGTGAGTCAGACCTGGGGATGGTAGGGGCCTCTGACAGGGAGCGCCACCTCGGATCCTTCCACCCAGGGCCCTTGGCTCAGCAGGCAGCCAGGCTGAGCCCAGGCGGGAGCTCTGCAGGCCCTGGTGAGACCTCCAGGCCCCGCTTGGCCCCCCGGACCTGGGAGCCTTCTGCCAGTTCCCGGGCCTTCCCACGGGGGGTGTGGCAGGCTGAGACCTCACTGTTCCAGGACATGCCCAGAACCCAGTGGACAGGGGTCCCAGCCGAGGGAGAGGCTGGGAAGGCGCCCTGAAGTGCAGATGTGTGAGACTCGGTTCTGGGTCCTTCGTATCAAGTGGGGGCTTGGGTGGGTTTCTTTCCCAGTCTTCTCCCCTGACAGTCCCTGGTTGTGCAGTCAATCCATCCGTCCCCTAGGAGACGTGTCTGGGGTGGCCCCTGTCTCGGTCCCCAGTACCACTGCTCACTGTGGGTTCACAGGGTGGGGACGTGCTGGGGGCCCCCAGGTCCTCTCTCTCAGGTCCGCTGACTCGGGCGGTATTGAGCACGAGACTGCAGCTCTCCTGTGCAGGGGAGTGCGGGACCTTGGGCACGTCCTGGGCGAGGCTGGAGCCTCCCGTCTACCCTTGTCTTCCAGGTGTGGCCCGGAGCCTCTGCCTTCCCTGACTTCACCAGCCCTGAGACCCAGAGCTGGTGGCAGGACATGGTGGCCGAGTTCCACTCCCAGGTGCCCTTCGACGGCATGTGGATTGTAAGTGCTGGGCCCCCTGCAGTGCCCTGTCCTCACCACCTCTGGGGACCCACCACACCCTCTGCATCCCCCGGGCCTGCACCTCTGAGCAGCGGTGCCCACCGCTGGGCCCTCTTCTGCAGGACATGAATGAGCCGTCCAACTTTGTAAAGGGCTCTGAGGTCGGTTGCCCCGACAATGAGCTGGAGAACCCGCCATATGTGCCAGGTGAGCGCCTGCTGGCCCCGTGCAGTGGGTGGGTGCCTGCCAGCCTGGAGCCTCAGGAACCTGGAGGACCCCTAGCCCCCTGGCACCAGATACATCAGGGATTTTCACCTCTTGTTTCAGATACCCAAATCTCTCATCTGAGAAGCTGGTAGCAGCAGCCAGCAGGGAGAGGGGAGGGGGCTGCAAGAGGGAGGTTCAGGGTCGGGGAGAGGCCACTGAGCAGTGCAGACACCCACAACTGAGGGAGGGGCTTCAGGGCTCAGACGAAAGGGCAGGAAGACCTAAAACAAGCATAAAGAAAGTAGTTCTAAGATCTGGGGTTTGTCCCTGTCCTTGGTGAAAGTGGCGGCTCTTTAGGGGTGCAGCCTAAGTTCCAGGGGTGACCAGATAAGAGGGAACAGAGGAGAGTGCCGAGTCTGATGTGGGGCAGGAGGGGCCGGGTGTGCTGTGGGGGAGAGGGGCCGGGTGTGCTGTGGGGTGGGAGGGGCCGGGTGTGCTGTGGGGGTGGGAGGGGCCGGGTGTGCTGTGGGGTGGGAGGGGCCGGGTGTGCTATGGGGTGGGAGAGGTGGTGTAGGAGGCGGGTGGCCCAGCCGGCCAGGAGGAGGCTGCAGGGAAACCTGTCCCCTTCCAGGCGTGGCGGGCGGGACCCTCCGGGCAGCCACCATCTGTGCGTCCAGTCGCCAGCACCTGTCTTCTCACTACGACCTGCACAACCTGTACGGGCTGACCGAGGCCATCGCCTCCCACAGGTGAGGGGCCCGCTGGCGCCCAGGTCTGCCCCTGCCAGCCTGTCCCACCACGGGCGCACGGAGGAGACCCAGAGCGCTCCCAGGGCCAGCCGGTGGGCTGAGTGCACTGCCTCTCGCTCCCTCCCTGCAGCCCCACCCTGAGCAGGAGTTCTCCCTGCATGAAATAAGCCCCTGGGGATGAGTGGGCAGGTGAGTCTGGGTGACAAAGACGCAGGTGGGGGATGCGTGCCCTCCCTGTGACGCAGCTCATCTTCAGGGTGGGTGGGGCTGGCTCAGAGATAGGTCACAGGGCTGTGAACGTTGCCGGTGCCCCGCGTCCACCCCCGTCGTCCGGCTTGCCCAGACGGTGCTGGGCACCACTCTGCGCTGTCCCTCCAGGCCTCGGACAGTCACGTGGGCGGTGGGGTCACTGGACAGGTCTCTCAGCTCTGTCCCCTTGCTCCATCCAGGGCCCTGGTGATGGCTCGGGGGACACGCCCCTTTGTGATCTCCCGTTCAACCTTTGCCAGCCATGGCCGCTATGCCGGCCACTGGACGGGGGACGTCTGGAGCAGCTGGGAGCAGCTCGCCCTGTCGGTGCCTGGTGAGAGCCGCTGCCGGGAAGGTGCCGCCCAGAGGAGGGCGGGAGCCTGGGGGAGGATTTGCTCCAGAGCTGGGTCCTGGGCCAAGCACAGCCCCGAGGGATGCAGCTACGATGGCGTAGGGGCCCGCTCGCCCCTGCCCACCTGTGCAGGTTTGCCCACCTGTGCAGGTCTGCTCATATATGCACGCGTGCCCACCTATGTACTTGGGCAAATCTGCCCACGTATGCAGGTCGCCCACCTGTGCAGGTCTGGCACCCGGCTTTCTGGGCATCCCTGTCTTTGTCTCCCACTGGTCTGTTCCCACAAAACTGTAGGTGTTACCTGTTCTGATGGGTGGGGCACCCCCTGAGCTGTAGGACACTGGAGGCGGACGCAGCAGGGCCTGGGGTCTGGGGACCTGCAGAGCCGCCTCTGAAGCTGCCTCGTGGGTTGGGGTTGCTGGGCTCTGATCCCCTCCTTTCGGGTTCTCAGTCTGTAGTTCTCATGTGAGCTGGTGTTAATCAGCAAAGTCCCTACGGTCCCCAGAGTCTGTTGTGACACAGAGAAGTCCCCAGGGTCCCAGCTGGCCCAGTCCTGCCCCTGGCTCCCCTTCGGGGTCGTGGTTCCTGACGAGTTACCGAGGGCAGTGTGGGGCCAGCCCAGCACAGCCCTCTCCATGTGTCCGCCTGGGCGCGGGTGGTGGGGATGGCGCCCGGCTGGATGTGAGATGGCCCTTTGACAGCTGGGGAGAGCCATGGGCGTGTCTGTCAGGCACCCTGGTGACTGGTCCCGCCCCAGCAGCTTGTCCTGTCCTGACTCTGCCCTCACAGCAACCCTGCTCTTCAACCTGCTGGGCGTGCCCCTGGTGGGGGCTGACATCTGCGGCTTCCTGGGCAACACCTCAGAGGAGCTATGCGTGCGCTGGACCCAGCTGGGGGCCTTCTACCCGTTCATGCGTAACCACAACAGCCTCGACAGCCTGGTAGGCGAGGCTCCGGGACGCGTTATTGCCCAGCGGCCTTCCGTGTCCGCCTGAAGGGCATCCTTTGTAGGGCGCGTCTGCTAGCAACACATTCTCTCCCCACCCACCTGAGACCCTGGCTGTGGTGGGCTTCCTAGACCCAGCAGCTCGGCCCAGGTTCAGTGCCACCTTGTTGCCACATGCTGGGTGGCCGAGGAGTCCCTGGGACTCCCAGGTGGAGATTCTCAGGGACCAGCGGCCCCAGCCCACGTGTCTGCCCCGCTCCCCCTGCCTCCCCGCCACAGCCCCAGGAGCCGTACAGGTTCAGTGCGACGGCGCAGGAAGCCATGAGGAAGGCCTTCACCCTGCGCTACGCGTTGCTGCCCTATCTCTACACGCTGTTCCAAAGGGCCCACGTCAGCGGCGAGACGGTGGCGCGGCCCCTCTTCCTGGAGTGAGTCACCCGGGGGGAAGGAGGGCCTGACCACGGGCCCGCTGATGCGCTGGTCCCTCCTGGTGCTCGGGTCCCCTGACCCCAGGGCAGCCCCGTCTGGCTACAGGGTGTGTTCCCAGGAACCGAGTCAGGAGCTGATTGCAGCTGAGTGAGACGAGGCCAAAAGCTGGGCCTCCCCTGCCGAGGTGCCCTCGGCACCCCCGTCCCCACCCCTTAGGTCCCAGCTCAGGGTGGGGGTATTTGAGGTAGGGAAAACCCAGCATGAAGAACACTGAGATAGACCACGTGGTACAGTGCGAAGCCCCGTGGTTCCCTTAGCCTAGAAGTGGCTTAAGAGAAGAGGACCTCAGAGGAAACCTAAGAGACGTCCCTCAACGGGACTCAGCCTGCCTTCCTGCTCTAGCTCTGCTGCAGCAGAAGTAACCCCAAGTGGGTGGCTTTAACAAACAGGAACTTACCTTCTCACAGCTTAGGAGGCTGGAAGCCTGAATCCAGGGCGCTGGCTCTAGGGAAAGGCTCTGTTGGCTCTGGAGGAAGGTCCTTGTTTCTTTTTCTGCCTCTTGGTTCCTTGGAGATCTCGTGGTGTGGCATCTGTCTTCCCTCGTCAGCACTTGCTTGCTTGGTTGCTTGCTCGATCTGCTCTTTTTATATCTCAAGGGAGATCAATTTAAGACATACCCTATGTTAACACTATCTAATGAACATAACAAAGAAAACCCGTGCCCTGATGGGATTATAGCCACAGGTAGAGTAGGATTTACAACACATCTTTTAGGGGGACACAGTTCGGTCCATCGCAGCGTGTGTAAGAAGCTGCCACGTGATAAAGGCGGCGCCTCACGGCGGGCTGAGGATTGTCCAGTTGTAGGCGGCGCCTCACGGTGGGTTGAAGATTGTCCACTCGTAGGGTGGTTAGCTGGAAAAGTCTGTTTAGATACTTTTTTCTCACACGATACGGATATGTAAGTTCCAAACCAAAAGCCAAATCCACTGCAGTTGAGTTGATTCCGACTCATAGCAACCCTATAGAACAGAGTAGAACAGCCCCATAGGGTTTCCAACGAGCACTTGGGGGATTTGAATTACCGACTTTTTGGTTAGCAGCTGTAGCTCTTAACCACAACTCTACCGGGGTTTCTATATGAGTTCCAGGTGGGTTAAATAACTAAATGGTAGGAATTAAGCTGTGGGTGTCAATGGTACTCTGGCTGCAGAGGCTGAGCAGGGGGAAGGAGATTGATCTGGATAATTAGGAAACAGTGCACAAAGGGGCTGGCCACTGCTCACTGCTGTCAGACCCCCGCCCCACTCCATCCTGGGCCCGGGCGAGGGCTGGGGACCAGGGCAGGAGCTGTTCTCAGCTCTTGCGTTGACTCTGTCAGCCGGAGCAGCCTGGCCACAGCTCACCTGAGCCCCAGCTCCCTGAGCCCCTGAGACGGGATGGCTGCCCCTCTCTGTGTTGCCCTGTGGGCCCCTTGTGCACTCCACGGCAAGGCATCACCTCTGCTCCTGGTCCCATGAAGGTTCCCCCAGGACCCCCACACCTGGACCGTGGACCGCCAGCTGCTGTGGGGGGAGGCCCTCCTCATCACCCCAGTGCTGGAGGCCGGGAAGACTGAGGTGACCGGCTACCTCCCCGCGGGCACGTGGTACAACCTGCAGACGGTGAGCCCGGGGTCCCTAAAACCTGGCGGAGTTAGGGATCAGGGGTCCCACCCACGGGCCGGGGTGGGGGAGATGATAGAAAGGGGAGCCCCAGCTGTCGGGTTCCTCCTGCAGGCTCTGCGCATGTCACCGTCGGGGCCTCGCGGTAACCCATCTTCACCGAGGAGACCCCACTGACCCAGCTGCCCACGCTTCGTGTACAGCCTCCTCAGCTGCTGTGCACCTTCAGTGTCCCCTGCCCTGCCCTGGCCCTGGGTCCAGGCCTCTCAGGCTCTGGGCCCCCCACTATGTGACCGGCTCCCAACAGGGCACCCCTTCTCTGCCCGAGCCACGTCCCAGTGAGTCTCTGCGTGCAACCCTCAGGACACAGGAGGACGCAGCTCCTGAGAACAGGCTGCCTGTGGCCGTGCTGACGTGACTCCTACCCTCCAGGTGCCAATGGACGCCTTGGGCAGCCTCCCACCGCCGTCTCCCACACCCCTCAAGTCAGTCATTCACAGTCAGGGACAGTGGGTGATGCTGCCAGCCCCACTGGACACCATCAACCTCCATCTGCGGGGCGGCTACATCATCCCCTTGCAGGTACCTGGGCCACCGTGAATGGGGGTCCCCCAGGCCGGGTACACTGTCCCTTGTAGGTACCTGGGCCGGGTGCTGAGTCCCCATGGCCACCATTGAATGGGGGTCCCCTGGGCCAGGTACCCCATCCCTTGTAGGTACCTGGGCCGGGTGCTGAGTCCCCATGGCCACCGTGGAATGGGGGTCCCCTGGGCCAGGTACACCATACTGTTAGGTACCTGGGTGGGATGCTGAGACCCCCATGGCCACCATGGAATGGGGGCTTCCCAGGAGTCCACACTGAGAGGAGCGAGGATCTGAGGGCTGACGGACTAGACAGGGAGGGACCTGAGGGCAGGCAGGCATCTCCCTCGTGGCCTGGGCCCAGTGACGGGTGGGGGGCACTTGCCCTTTCCTGGGGAAGCCTCTGTGGCCCCCGAGTCCTCCAGAGCCTCTGTCCGGTGCTGTGACAGTGGTGTGGACCTGAGCTGTGGGCCTGGGAAGGGGCCGGGAACTAGGGAGGGGGCTCCAGAGAGACTTCTGGAGGCAGGGCCACCCTGAGGTGGAAGGAGACTGAAGTCCAGCCTGGCCGGCGGGGGAGGAGGGAGCAGTATAGGCAAAGGCCCGGCCGGGCGCAGCCAGACACCCAGGCAGGCTTGCAGGGTGGAGGCTCAGCCTCCCCATGGGGGCTGTGGATGAGGGACAGCAGTTGATGTTGCGGGGAGTGGGCCAGGGTTGCCGCTCAGCCCCACGGGCTCCGCTGTGGATCCTGGTCTCCTGGCAGAGGGCGCCAGCCTCATGTTACTCTGAAGTCTGGGGCCCTCCCCCAAGGTCCGGCTGGCGACCCGTGTCCACCCCTTCCAGGGCCCGAGCCTCACCACCACCGAGTCCCGCAAGCAGCCCATGGCACTGGTGGTGGCCCTGAGCTCAAGCGGGGATGCCCAGGGGGAGCTGTTCTGGGACGATGGAGAGAGCCTGGGGGTGCTGGAGCACGGGGCCTACACCCTGGTCATCTTCCTGGCCAAGAACGTGAGTCCTGAGTTCGGGGGATCAGGGGACAGCCAGGCAGGTGGGTCGGAGGGGGCACAGCCTGGGTGACGGCCCTGATCCCGTGTGCCGTCTCTGTCCAGAGTGGGAGAAGGGCTGTTTCCCAGGGGCTGTGGGTGAAGCACCCTGGCAGGACACTGGTGGCCTGGTGCCTCAGGGTTTGCAAAGGCTGTCATATCCTCTCGTGTCTACATGGAGAGAAGCCGCCCCTGGATGCCCTCACGAGCCCCTTCTGGTGGGGCTCCCGCCTGCCATGTGCTGACACCGCTGTGTTGTCTCTCTCTGGGCGGGGCCAGAACACCGTCGTGAACAAGCTGGTGCACGTGGCCAGTGAGGGGGCCGGCTTGCAGCTGAGGAAGGTGACTGTCCTGGGTGTGGCCACAGCCCCGCAGCAGGTCCTCTCCAATGGCGTTCCCGTCTCCAACTTCACCTACAGCCCTGATACCAAGGCAAGAATGCCCTGCGTGGGCACCGCAGACAGGGTGCTCGCAGGGACTGAGAAGAATGGCCGATCAAGCCGGTCCCTGTCCGTCAGGACCACCAGGGGCGGGGGGCATCTGATGACAAAATGCCAGCTGAGCCTGGTGTTACCCAGTGGAGGGAGGAATGTCATCCTTAGGGGAGGGGTGGGGAGGCAAGGCCACACGCGGCCAGCCTGTCCTCTCCGTTTGGAGCGTCATGTGGTCGCCATGGCAACTCATGAGCTGTTGTCTAAACAGCACCTTATTTTCAAAGCTAAGATGGCAGATGCTGGGAGCATTAGTCCTGAATCAGCCGGGGAAGGACCAGAGCAGGAACCTTCCCCAGGGGCTGGGGCCTGCAACCCCATGTCTGCCACTTGCCATGCCAGGCACCCATCTCCTGAGCACCTGGGGACCGCACTAATGCTTGGCGCTCAGTTTTTCTTCTTTTTTGTTTCTCCAGATCCTGGACATCCCTGTCTCTCTCTTCATGGGAGAGCAGTTCCTCATCAGTTGGTCCTGACTGGGTGCCAGTGATGCCTTTAGTCCCTCGCCCTTTTTAACGGGGAGCAGGAAGCTGGAACCTGCGCCACTCTCAGTCAGCCATGTTTGGGCCTGGGAGCGTTTACCCTGAGCGTTGCGGGGTCTCTTGCTTATTGTGTCTTTTCTGGGGCCTGGGGCTCTAGTCTGTTGACACCTTTGACAGTTTTTCTCCCCAGATTCCACAGTTGGGTCAGTGCCCTTGAACGTTGCTTTGTGTTGAGAACGTCACAGCCTAAGGTTTACCTCCCACAGCATGTCACTGGAACCGTGTAACATTAGCAGCTACCAGCTAAACTATCCGTGACAGCAGAGAAAGCGATGCCAGGGGCGGAGAATGTCTTATCTGCACATGAGGTCAGGGTCCTGCCCTGCGGCTGCCGCTGCTCTGACCGCACGTAAAGGTGGGAGCTGGGCCGCTGCCCCGAGAACAGATAGTGAGCCCAGGCAACTGGGGAGAATTCATAGAACCTGGGGAAATTGTTCATCTGAAGTGCAATTATTTTTAATAAAAGAGGCATTCGGGCTCAAGCTGCTGTCGCTCCTCTGGGACTCGGGGCAGGATGTGTCTGAGGGCCACGGGGTGGAGGCGGCGGCTGCGTCCTCAGCTGGTCTGGGAGTCCCCGGGGTGAACCCCAACTTGAGAAGTCGGCGTTCTAGAGACAGTCTGTTCATGAACCCTACATTTTCAGATGCCTTAAGTCACAATCACCATATGAACCTAAAAAGTGTCCCTGGGCCTCCCCCTTGGAGATTGAGATTGTTATAATCCCAACCAATCTAGTGAAAGAAGGGGGAGGTAGAACTGCCACTTTGTTTTTAAAAAGATTAGAAACGGAGTTAACTGGCCCGCCCACGGTGACACGGCAAGTGGCTAGAAAAGCTGGTGGCACCTTCAGAAATCTGAATGAGAGCTTACGGGGAAAGTTTTACATGTTTTAATGAAAAAGACCTCCAGCAACACATTATTTACATGTGGGTAAGAAAAGACAGCTGAATTCCCCAAGGTTCTGTTGGGGTGGGCTGCAGAGAGTTCACATCAACCCCCACTAAATAAAAGCTGCCCCTAAATGTTCCCAGACCGGGAGGAGAAAATCAGTCGGCAGTCTCCAGCTCTCCTGCAGTATAGCAAGCCTGTTCCTTCAGATTAGATCAGCAACTGGAATCACAGAAAAGTATATATTAATGAACACTACAAAACAAAATGAAAATCTGTAAATTTAACCAAAGGCCCACGACAGACTTCTCAAAGAAAAGGGGGTGGGGAGGGGACTCAAGTACCCCCCCAAATTAGGAAGTTCCGCCTGGAACCGCCGCACCGCCGCGTGCTGTGTGCTCACCGTTCATGGGCATCTCGTCGATCTGAGTGGAGTAGTACTGCTCGATGTCTCTGAGGATGCGGATGTCGTCGTTCTTCACAAAGTTAATGGCCACACCCTTCCGGCCGTATCGACCCGATCTCCCAATTCTCCAGAAATAGAGCACATTTATTTTAGTAAACGTAGCAGAAAACCTTTTAGTAAATACATCACAGGAAAGGAAAGCAGTCGAGCCCACCCCATACCTGTGTATGTACAACTCTCTGTTGTTGGGCAGGTCGTAGTTAATGATGAGGGAGACCTGCGGGACATCCAACCCCCGGGCCCAGACGTCCGTGGAAATGAGCACTCGGCTGCAAAAACGGAAGTTATGTGACCGACGGCCTGAGCAGGGCAGCCACAACCTGATGGTGTCCGTTCCTCTTAGGTGAGCCCAGCTAAGAGCCCAGAGCACCCGGACACCAGGTCACTGTCACACTGGCCTCTGACAACACAGTGTCAGGGACAGCTCTGGGAATCCGTTCAGATAGGCTAGGAGGGAGGGCTGTGTGGTGTACTTCATTACTTAGGCCACGTGCTCTAGCTGATAAAGGATCCTGTTATTAGATACTGTTATGGACTGAACTGTGTGTCCCCCCCCAAAATGTGTCAACTTGACTAGGCCATGATCCCAGCATTGTGTGGCTGTCCTCCATTTTGTGATCTGATGTGATTATCCTATGTGTTGTAAATCCTACCTCTATGATGTTAATGAGGCAGGATTAGATGCAGTTATGTTCAAGAGGCAGGACGCAATCTACAGGATTAGGCTGTATCTTGAGTCAATCTCTTTTGAGATATAAAAGAGAAGCAGGCAGAGAGGAGAGAGACCTCCTACCACCAAGCAGGAAGAGCCAGGAACAGAGTGCGTCCTTTGGACCTGTCATCCCTGCACTGAGAAGCTCCTAGACCAGGGAAAGATTGATGACAAGGGCCTTCCCCCAGAGCCGACTGAGGAAGAAAGCCTTCCCTGGGAGTTGGGACCCTGAATTCAGACTTCCAGCCTCCTAAACTGTGAGAGAATAAATAAGTCTGTGTTGAGGCCATCCACTTGTGGTATTTGTTATAGCAGCACTAGATAACTGAGACAGATACCCTTTACTACATTTAACTTATTCAGAGTCAGCCCCATACCAGTAACTGGGAACAGCATTTTACGTCACCTAGCAAGAGCTTGGATAAGAACAGGAACCTCACTGACTTTGGTGCGTCTTTCTACTATCTTCAGATTTGAAATGCAGCTCACACGTCTCCACACTCTATACTATCTGCTGTGCTGTAGACCTGCGCTGTCCACTACAGCAGCCACGAGCCACAGCTGACCGCCAGGCACTGGGAACGTGGCTGGTCTGAGTGGAGATGTGCTGTGGGTGTAAAACACACACTGGGTTTTAAAGACTTTAGTGAGAAAAACAAACACAGGCACCTTTTGATATTGATTACATTTTGAAATGACAGTAAGACATGTTGGATTAAATATTAAAAACCAACTCATCTGTTTCTTTTTACCTACTTTAATGCAGCTACTAGGCAATTTTAAATTACCTCTGTAGCTTGAATTATTTTTCTGTTGGACAGCGCTCGTCTAGAGGCACTCAAAGTATGAAGGGACATCCGAACAACGGAAAGAAGTTCAAATCACATGGAGGTGTCACTCCCATACAGTCACCTATAACTGGAGTCCAAAGAATGGTGTGGAAGCAATATTTAAAGAAATAAGACCACGAGATTCAAAAAAGTCCTACAAATCCCAAACAAAATCTGCACCTAGGCACATTGGAGTAAAAACTGCTGAAAACAAGCCACGAAGAGAAATCTGAAGAGTAGCCTGAAAAAAAAGACGTTTTTTTATACGAGCAACCATTAGACTGGCAGGTGACTTCCCAACAAACAACGGAAGCCAAACAACAATGGAATTACACCATTAAAGTGTAGAAAGAAAACAACTGTCAACCTAGGAGTCTACCCCAGCAAATATCTCGGAGACATTCGAGGTGAAACAGACGTTTCCAGAGAGACTAGAACAGGTAACCGGTCACCAGTATGTCCACCTAAAAGGAAACACGAAAAGACGCTCTTCAGGCAGAAGAAAGTTCAGATGTAAGTTCAGAGGTGAAGAAAAACAAGAATACCAAACACGGCAAGTAGGTTTTTTATATAAAGCAGTAACGTCTTGTGAGGTTTACAATATACGTGAATTAAAATACACGACAAAAATGACACAGAAGTTTGGGGGTGGATGGAGTTTCAGTGTTTTAAGGTCCTTGTGCTGTCTGGGAAGACAAAGTACCAATTAATAACACGGGAGTTGCATGTTACAATCTCTAGGCTAACTACTAGATAATAAACATACATCTCGCAAACTGAGAAGGAAAAATGAAAAAAGTCATAAATTCCAAAGGAACAGAGAGCACACAAGAGACGTGCAGATGAGATGCACTCAGGGCGACAGCTGGTGCTGCTTCCAAAACACCCGCCTAAAACGGGGGTACGGAAGGGGGGGCAGAGACGTGCTGTGGCGGCACTGACCAGGAGGAAGCTCGTGTGGCTCCTTCAGCCAGGGAGACTTGAAGACAGACAACATCAGTGGAGATCAAGGACACTCCGACAGTAAACGGCAAAGTCTCCTGAAATACAGTAATTCTAAATCCGTACGCATCGAAGCACACAGGCTCAGAATACACAAAGCAAGAACCGACAGAAGGACAAAGAGGAACAGCCTCCTCCACGGCTCTGTCAACGACGGAACAGGGAAAAAACCAACAACTAAACCCACTGCCATCGATTCCGACTCACAGCGACCCTGTAGGACAGAGGAGAACTGCCCCGTAGGGTTTCCAAAGAGCGGCTGGTGGATTCCAACCACCGACCTTTTGGTGAGCAGCCGCAGTGCTTAACCACGGTGCCACCAGGGCTCTGAGCAGAGGAACGGGGGGAGAAACCAGGAAGGATGCAGATGGTTTGAGAAGCCCCATTAGCAACTGAAATGCAGTGAGTATACAAAGGGCATTGTAACAACTGCAGGATATACGTTCTGTTCACGGACCCACAGAATACTGTGAAAGGACCGTATGTGGGCCATAAAGCAAGTCGTGATAAATGTCAAAGGAAAGGAATCATACAACGCGTGTTCTCTGACCACAATGTAAGCAAGCTGGAAACCACCTGCAAAGAGATGGAACATGCCCACTGCTGTGGAAATGAGAACCCTACTGCTAAACAGAGCAGCCCATCTAGTGAAGGCTGGTTACCCTCCCCCACCTCCTAGAAAGTTCCCTGGTCTCCCTGAGCCTCGGGTTAAGATGAGGACACTCTCAATCTGGTCTGGGGGCAACGGGACTAAGAGAGCACACATGGAGTGCTAGCCCCCCCTGTGGACAAATGCCAACTCACTGTGGGAAGGGAAGCACCACCAACCTGGCGCCGGATCTGAACTCCTTCATAATGGACTCGCGCTCCTTCTGAGGCATGTCTCCGTGCATCGACGAGACGGTGAAATTGGCCTCTCGCATTTTCTCCGTCAGCCAGTCAACCTACAAATCAAGGCAGCAGAGCACACACCAACCCAGAGGCCTGTATCTGGATTCCGTTACTGCAGAACCAGAAGGAATGCTCAGAGAGCAACAG